CAACTCACCACATTGGGTTTTGGCCACTAAAAGGTGAGTGAAGGGAATGTCATTTTCTGAGCAGAGTCGGTACTGAGTAGAATATTGCAGGGTTGAAACCTGAAAGTAAGAGTTGATCTTGTAATAAGATTTTCCAGGTGAGGGAAGCACTAAAACGAACGCTCGTCAGTGAAAATAAAAGCTATCATTAGAGTAAAGTGAAGGGTCGTTTGCCAGTCGAATGACTGCAACGGTTCCTCCCAGGGAATTAACAAACTATTCCTCTTATCTCTTCTGCATTCAGCTCTGTCGCTGAATTCGTAGCCGAAACCAACCTAGATGGTCCTGCAATAATAGGTATGGATCCCGCGCATGACAAACCAAATCCCGCGCATGGCAAAGAAAAGTCTTCCTCACAGAGTTCCCGTGATGCCATGGGTGCCGGGGCCGCGGCTGGTATTACATTCGGCGTGACAGCATTGGCAGGATTGTTGATCGCAGTCATGGTCATTGGCTGGCGTCGCCATAAGACCATTCAAAGAGAGAGCAGCGGTTTAATGGAGCCATTGAATCCCATTGGGTACGGCGCCGTAAAAGAGGAAGGAAGCCCACAAGTTTGAATTATGCAGGAACTTTAAATTGTCTTAAAACTAACAGATGACTCCAGATAATAACTTTATGTCTCTTAAAACGTTTTTGAAGTTGACATTTTCTCGCGCTTTGTCCCGTAAATTCCTTTTTCTGATAATTGTGTTTTTCAAGTGACATTGTTACCAGCGCTTGTTCTGTTTAAATTGTGATAGAAGAAATAACCTTAATTTCAGAGGCACAGAGAATGTAAACAAAGGATGTTTCGTTTGACAGAGTACGGTTACACCTGTTTTCACAATGATATTGAGTGTCGCTAAACCAAAACCAAAGTAATCACAACTTCTAATCAGAAGAAAGAAAAATACTTTAAGAGCCAATGAGAATTCAAAGTAAAAACCACCGAACTGCTAAAAGGGCGGGAAAACGCGAGCGACTAAGTGGTAAATTGGTTTTAGTTTTGATCTGATTGGTCAAGAAAGTAGTGTGAGTTTTCTGCACCAATCACGGATCTGAGTAGAGCAAAAACAAAGCAAGCCTGGATTACTTTCAACTCCTGCTTGTCGTGTCGGACAAACACTGGATCATTGTGTTGTACTC